ACTCCGGTGTGTGTGCGTGTCTGTGTGTGTATGCTTGGGTGTGCTATTTAAAACAATTGTCATTTGGAGCGGTAATCCAAGTGGTGTAAAGGTTCTGTTTCGGAAAAAGAATGAGAGAAAAATTTAGAATTTGAAATTTTTTCGCCACTTTGGACTGCCGGTGTATACCTTGCACACTACTAGTTTCGCTAGTAACAACGAATCAACGGGGAAGAAAAGAAAAATTACATTCATTCCCCTCCCGTGTATCTCCTGTGAATCGCGCTTCAACGGGTGGAACGCATTAGTCAAAATAATGCAAAAACGACATCCGACGATAAAGTTTCTACCTTAATGGTACCAATGAGTGGGAGATTTTTGCTCTCACTTACGTCATTTCGGCAAATGTGTCCCACCGAGGTCACTGCGTACCTGGGGATCAGCCTTCGACTGAAGCAGATTATTTGGACCGCTCGCACTTTGGGATAGGCAGTGTCGAGACACTCTTATCCCGATCCGCGAACGCTCCGCCAAGTGCTTAACAGCCGTTTAGCTCGGTAAGGCCTCGCTGTGGTGTGTTATTATTGGTAACATTACTGAAATCGAAACTCCCAACGCTTGATGTTATACCAATTCTTGAGTTTATATATTTGAAAAACTTTGGTGTTCATAATAAATATAGATCGGCATGGCTTGAGAATAGAACCAAGTACCTGCCGTAATGGGGGGTTTCCTTCATTATTGGCTTCTTATAGTTTTCGCCAGTGCAGTGCCACTTGTTACCTAGCTACTCGATTGTTATTCGTGTATATAATAGATTTGTAAGATTAGTAACACTTACGAGTGTATTTATTGTAATGACTGTCACGCTTGGAGAAGGAGAGCCTGAAACGAAGTTTCTCTGCCAATTGTGTTTGTTTTAGTTTCACTGAAAGCTGCAAACGAACTTGTTCTGCATCCATGCCAAGGCCGTATAGATTTGTTTCTCACTCGTATTATGTAGTCCCTAACTTAGAATTATTTATGCTACGTTTGCCATATGTTCTCCAAAAGTATCAGTTTCTGAAGATGAGCAACGCTAGCTGACAACTGACTGCCAGTTCTTAGCAGACTATAGCATGTGTCGTCCGTAAGTATTGTTCCGTTTTGTCTCTTCGTATGTTTCAGGAAATGGTAAAAAAAATGTCCGGGGTTTGAACGCAAGTTTTGTTCATTTAAAAGCTGCAGAGAAATTTAGGATCATGTGAAAATTAGTTTGGCGTTTGGTTACCATTTACAGCAGTATGATGTTTTTGTACGTATTCTTACTAATGACTTAGTTCATCATTTATTCTCCGCTGTGATTTCATGTAAGAAGTAGACTCTAATGTTAAGTTGTAATGGACACTGAAATAAACTCTGCAAAAAAAACACGTATAGTGCATTTTTTCGGAACAAATGGCCGATCAGGGTCTTTTCTTTCCTCGCAAAACAAGTAACACACAAAACGGCAGTTAAACTTGGTGACCGATTTCCGAACATGCAGTAAGTCGAGCGCGCAGTGCAGAGAAAGGAGTCCTTCCGGGACCTTCTCTCTCACGAACTGCTCTGCACCCGGAACACATAAATCTGCCTCATCGAACAATCCGCTCCCCGCGCTGCTCGGCCGCAAAACGGTGTCATAAAGGGCATGCCGGGCCATAGCGCAGTCTCTCTCTCTCCCTCTCTCTCTCTCTCTCTCTCTCTCTCTCTCTCTCTCTCTCTCTCTCTCACGCTCTCACGCTCTCTCTCTTACTCCCTGTCTCTCTCTCTCCAAAGTTCTGTTTCACAGGTTTTCACACACAGTTCCCGGTAGCTGCCCCACGCCGCCCCGCCGGACACGTGCTCTGGTGAGCCCCACTATCGCTGCACCGACACCGTATTACTCGAAATACCCGTTGTTGTCGTCGTCGCCGAGCGGCCGCGTGTCGTTTCGCCAGCAGCGCCTTCTTGGCCGCCCCTCCGCCCCCGCCGGCTAGGCCACCCATCGTACTCGGCCGGCGGCGGGAGGGGCGGGCGCGGGCCGGCCGCAGCGCTGCCCAGTCGCCGCGCGCCCACCACGCTGTAAGTACTCCGACACACTGCTCGTGAGGGTTGTTGCATCGTCCACGTCGTTGTTGGTCCCGCTCGGGTGCGATGCCGCAGCACGCCCCCGGCGCCGACAAGACGAGTGGGCGACGCGGAGGGCGGAGGGCAGTAGTTGTGTGGTGAGAAGCGTGGACCCCGGGAGCACGCGCGCGCATATCGTGCGTCGGAGAAGAGGCGACACTTCGCAGTGGCAGGGGCGGGAAAAGGCGACCGTACCCGGCCGCCGGGCTGACTCCGTGCAAACGCGAAAGAAAAGCGGGCGCACATTTTGCTCAGCGATCTCGCGGTTCAAACATCGGAGACTGACAGCGTAAAAATGCTAGCGTAGATTATTGTCTGAATAAACAGACAGCAGTCAAAGTTTTTGTTGCTGTTTGGTCCCGCGGCCCTCCCTCCCGCCGGGCCTCGACGGGGTGCCTGTGCCCCCGCCGCGCCGGCCGTCTCGCCTCTTGCTGTGTGGTTGCCCCGGCGCGACTGCCGCGGCCCGGCGTCACTTTACGACGTGTATGTCCGGGCGGCGAGTTACACTGCCGGGGAAAGGGGAAAAGCGTCGATCAACGATGAGTTGTCATGGTGTTGTTGGTCGTGTGGCCAGTGCCGAATATGGTGGAGGGTTGAGGTTGATCAACAACAGCACAACGATATGGAATCGTTCGGTCACGTGTGTTTGATGAAAAACGTCCCAACCGAGTCGTCGTCCTTAAGGTATAAATGTGCGATTTTTCTTCCTTTCCACTCGCTAACGTGCGTTTTGTTCCCATAACTGCAAACCGTTAGTCGCGTCCCAGGCGGCGACAAGCGTCATTTTTATGTTTGTGTGTGTGTGTGTGTGTGTGTGTTGTCAACGAGTGTCCGCAACGTTTTCACCGCTGTCTGGTGGTGGCCGCAGATGGTGCTGGCGGCGCTGGTGCCGGCGCTGCTGCTGCTGGCGCTGCTGGCGCACGCCGCCCAGGGCTACGTGTGCATGCACTACCAGCGCCTGGAGCCGGGCGTCCGCTACGCGATCCTGTCCCCGGGCTGGCCGGCCAGCTACCAGGCGGGCGAGTCGTGCCAGTGGGTGGCCGAGGCGCCGCCCGAGCAGCGGGTGGCCTTCGAGTGCGATGAGTTCTACCTGCCGGGGCCCAACTCCAACGAGGTACGGCAGTAGCGGCCACCCCCAGTAAGAGGGGATTCGATGTATCGAAACGACTCTCGCTTCTCACCGGGGCCGCCGGGCTTGTCTTCTTCGGCAGTCGCTGGCCTGCAGTGACGTGCTGCTCGCGTCCTCCTCCGGCATGCACATCAACCTGGACGGCATGCCGTACATCGGGAGGGACACGGTGGTGAGCCAGGGCAACGTCCTGAACGTGGAGCTGCGCTCGGCGTACCGGGGCAGCGCCGAGGGCCGCTTCCGCTGCTACGCCCAGGCCACCACGGAGCAGCAGTGGAGCGTCCGCGCTCGGCCCGTCTTCAACAGCACGAGCGAGTCGCAGTTCGAGCGCCAGGCCGTGGCCACCAACCCCGACTACTGCTCGTGCGGCTGGAAGCTGGACGTAAGTAGGGGCTGCTGTGCCGGACAACTCGCTCAGGCTGAACTTAACATTTAGGTGAGGTGTGCCTTAACGATCTCCTTCTCTGTCACCGCAGGGCCAGGGCTCCTACCTGGTGAGTGCTGCTGCTGCTGCCGCGACGTCCCAGCACCACCGGCGCTGCTCGCCTGCCGCTCACCGCCACCCTGCTTGCTTCTCCCCCAGGCGGGCCGGATCACCAACGGCATCGAGGTGCGGCCCAACGAGTACCCCATGATGGCGGCGCTGGTGGACGGCGACGCGGTGGTGTGCGGCGCCGTGCTCATCGCCAGCCGCTTCGCGCTCACCAGCGCGCACTGCCTGCGCGGCCTGCCGCTCGAGATGGTCGACCTCGTCGTGGGCGAGTTCGACACCACCTTCGGTGCGTGACCACCAACCACCAGCGAGAGACCCCACCCCACATTCTCTAGTGACAGTTCCTCGAGTAACGGACAGCGTCGTTGGCCCGCAGAGGTGGAGGGCACGGTGCAGCAGCGCCTCAAGCTGGCCGAGTTCGTGCGCCACCCCTCCTGGTCCAACGACTGGAAGCGCGGCAACATCGCCATCGCCAAGACCAAAGAGGAGGTGCGCGTCTCCCTGTTCGCCGGGCCCGCGTGCGTGCCCAACAACAAGTCCGCCGACCAGTTCCTCGTGCCCGGGGAGAACCTCGTCATTCTCGGCAAGTCTGGCAACTGAACAGAAGAAACTGACTTCGTCCATACCGATCTCTAGGGCGTTGTGCCTAATACTACTCCTCAATGTCAGGGTGGGGCGCCAGCGTGTACGGCGGGCAGACATCGACCCGGCTGAAGCTGATGAACGCACCGCTCATCAACCCCAACGAGTGCATCATCAAGTACGGCCAGCTCTACGACGAGCACTTCTGCACCGGCTCCATCAACTCGCAGTCTGTCTGCACGGTAAGCCACCTGCCGACACACCCTACCGAGGGGCCCTTCACTCAAAAAAAATCAGTGTACACCCTTAGAAAAAATCATTAAAAAATCACAAAAAATCAACGAAACGTCATTAAAAAAATCACAAGAGAGATGGCGAAAATCACAAAAATTTATGAAAAAATCATCCCCAAAAAATCAAGAAAAAACAGAAAAATTGGTGTACGCTAAAATTTGTAGTGAAGGACCCCTCGCACCCTACCGACTAACCTCATTCTCATTCACTTTGTCGGACCCTCCCAGGGTGACCCCGGCGGGCCGCTGCTGTGGAAGAGCCCCCGGACGCACCGCTACATGGTGGCCGGGATCATCGCCTACGGCGACGGCTGCAGCGGCTCGGCCATCATCAACACCAAAGTGTCCAGCTACATGGACTGGATCAGGGAAGTCACACAGAGTACGTGTCGAGCAGGCTTATTCTCTTATACTGGATGAAACAACATCAAATGCACGTAGAATTAATGTGTCCGCTTTCTGTGTGCTTCCAGATAACATCTGCTACAGCAGATAGGCCTGAAAGTTGCCAGATTTGGTTCCCACGGGGAACTTTCTTACAGTTTCTTACAAAAGAAATCGCCCAATAAAGGACAATTGCGACCGCAATTAGGTCACACGGGCTTAAGTCTAGTCCTTTACCTCGCCCATACCACGTACCAGTACAGTTCCCCGCCTTGCCAACTCCCTATGAGAGTTGATTTCAGGTTGAAGCCGTCGTTGTCCAGCTAACGCACTCAATCCCCCACAGTCCACAGTCCACCCAGTCTTGACCCCCGACCTGAGTCACCGAGTTTGGGACCAGCTCAGTTAGGTGCTCTGGGTGCGACCTGCCCTGCGCCGCCGGTGCGTCCTGCGCCGCGTTTTATTTCCAGAGCAGTGGCGCTCCCGGTCGCCACGCGAGGCACGCCGCACACGCTATGCTTCAGCCAGCAGTACCGGACCGCGAGGCGCACGGCGAGGACCTCGTCATCCAACGAACAAAACATGTCAGCCGCTCTGTCATGGTTGACCGCGCCGGGTGAGCAGTATGCGACTTCTGCGAGAGGCTGAATTTGCAAACTGTCAAATTTCATGTGCAGTACTTTTACTTTGCCGTTTTCTTCTCGCAGGGTGTTTCACTCTATTGATTTGCTTCACATCATCGTCGGCGGGTCTTTTCGACCGTATGCAAAGAAATGAAATAAGTCAGTAGTCAGCAGTCCTACTTGCCCGCGATTCTTCTTGACATATTATTAGTGACCGTGGACTCTGTGGGATGGAAAGCATGCATGTGCCGGGTGCAACTGTGAATACGCAGCAGTGTTGCGGGATTGCATACTCAACATGGCCCCTTACGGGTGTACAGAGTAGGCAAACCCACAACACTGCTGCATATTCACAGTTGCACCCGGTATAGCGACGCCGTAAATGTGAAAAGAGAGATGCGCGTCATGCGCAAGGGTGAATCTTCATGTCACCACTGGAAGATTTAACTCAGATTCTTTCAATAGTTAACGTTCGAGGACTGCTAAATATTTTCTACAAGATCTATAAGAACTGCATGGAACTGCATGATGCATTTTTTCGATTTTAAAGCAAATATTTGTCGCACCGCACCGCCGTGCACTTTAAACATTGGCACGCCTCCTTCTCCATTTTTGCAGCCCCCGCCGTGAAGATAGCCCAAGGCGAGCTGACGGGCCTCTTCCAGACGAGCACGGCCAACAAGAAGTACATGGCGTTCTACGGCATCCCGTACGCGCGGCCGCCCGTCGGCGACCTCCGCTTCAAGGTCAGAGGCTGTCCCTCTCTCGTGACGGGATGACGTCACGTAGGACACGTTGGGTCGCATGGGGGAAGGCCGCCGCCGCGCACCATCATTTTTATTCGCCGTTGTTTGAGCCGATATTTTTTGATCGCTGCAGGCGCCGCAGCCGGCCGTGCCATGGGAAGGGGTGCGCGCCGCCCAGACCGAGGGTGACTTTTGCCCCCAGCCGGCGGCCACCAACATCATGGTACGCAAAAGGGTGGATGGAGAGCATATTCGGGTTATTGAGTTACGTGAAATGCAATGTCTTCATCCTTCGAATTTTCCATTTGTCGTCCTGCAGAAGCCTCAGGCGAGCGTCAAGACGGCGGCGGACGCGCTCAAGATGGTGGCCTCGCTGCCGGGCGCGGCGCGCCACGCTGCGAAGCACATGCTGCACATGTCGGAGGACTGCCTGTACCTCAACGTGTACACGCCACTGGTAGGCATCGTCCAAAACAGTACGTCCGCTTTCCCTATCAGATTCTTTCGGCAAATGACGGGAGCTCAGCGCCTGCGAGACTCGGGGTGGGCCACCCCGCAGCACACGCGTGCACTGTAAGCGAGATGTTGCCTACCTAGCAGGCGCTATGGGAGCTTGCCCGGGCGGGCTGGACCTGACAGTTTCGCAGAGGCGGAGAAAGACGGGCGTACTTTCTGGATGGCCCCAATGGAGACCCATGCTACTGTTTCCTGTCCGCTCTTTGAGAATGCTGTAGGCAGGCAGGCTCACTGTGTCTCGGCCCGCAGGAGGCGCTGCCCGTGGACAAGCCGCTCCCCGTGCTCGTGTGGATCCACGACGGCGGCTTCGTCTTCGGCAGCGGCGACTACAACATGCAGGGCCCCGAGCACCTCATGGACCGCGGCGTCGTGCTGGTCACCCTCAACTACCGCCTGGGCGCCTTCGGCTTCCTCTCGTCCAACTCGTCGGACGCGCCGGGCAACGCCGGCCTCAAGGACCAGCGCCTCGCGCTGCGCTGGGTCCAGGACAACATCCGGCACTTCGGCGGCGACCCCGGCATGGTCACCCTGTACGGCTCGTCGGCGGGGGCGGTGTCGGCCCACGCGCACGTCCTGTCCGCCAACTCCAAAGGTAGGGGGGAGGGGACGAAAAACAAACAAACGCGCAATAACTCCGCGTCGCGTGCCATGAAAGCGAGAGGATCAAGGACGTCGGTCCACAGATATCAGATCGGGAGAAGCTCGTCACCGACGGCTTGTTTGGGGATCGTCCAGAAAATACATCCGTTTTGCTTAGATTTTTTTGCGGGTGCTCGGCGCCTGCGAGACTCGGGGTAGGCCGCCCCGCCCTACACGCATGCAGTGTGGGCAAGATGTTGCCTACCTGTCAGGCGCTATGAGAGCTATCCTTGGGCGGAGCTAAACCTGACCGTATCGTAACGACGAACGACGGAACGTTCTTTTTGGGGGGAACCCGGTGCGGTCGCTATGTGGGTGGTCGAGTTCACCCGATTTCGAAGGTTTCGCAGCCACTGTCACGCGCCGTGCGGCGCAGGCCTGTTCCAGGCCGCCATCCTCTCCAGCGGCTCGACGCAGGACTTTGGGGCCACGCAGGCCGACGCGGAGCTCACCAGCAGGCAGCTGGCGCACGCCATGGGCGCCGGCGCCGACACGTGCGGCGACACGAAGCGGCGCATCCAGTTCCTGCGCGACGCGCCCTTCAAGGACATCGTGGCGGGCATGAAGCACCTCATGGCCTCCAGCAAGGTGCCAACATTCAGAATAAGTTTTCACTGGCGAGTCTAAGAGTTGCAACAGGTGTTGAGCGCTTCTTTGCCCCCAGACCAACCGGAACATCGTCGAGCGGCCCATCTGGGCGCCCGTGGTGGAGCCCGCGGACGGCGGCGAGCCCCCCGTGCTGGACCGACACCCCAACGACATCCTGGTGGCCGGCGACTTCAACACCGAGGTGCCTCTGGTCATCGGCGTCAACGACAAGGAGGGCTCGTTCATTGTCGGTAGGGAATCCCGGTCGCGCAGCACGTTTAATCCGTTAGCTCGCCTTCGTTATCGCTCAAAGCGTGTATAGTTTCAAGGATTGTTGTAAATGATGATCTATGTCTAAAACCAACTATACAGGGAGACTGGCTGAGGACGACACGACGAAGCTTGAAGCCAATCCGTCACTGCTGCTCTTGCCGAACCTGTACGATCAGGTGGATGCCAACACTAGGGAGGAGCTATCGACCAAGATCAAGAACTTGTACCTCAAGGACCAGGACATCGGGAAGGAGGCCCTGGACAGTCTTGCCGACGTAAGTGTTGGCCGTTTCACGGGGTTGCGCAGCCACATTCGTAGTTATACTGTAAGCGAGCGTGCGAGCGCGCATTTGCGTATCGTCTTGTGGACCCAAAGAGAGGCAACGCGCCCGCGTGCAAACGGTACATCCCAACTACGAACATGGGCGGGGAGCATCAGCAACCTGACATGATGCAGACCATTGTACCTAGTGTGATTTTATTGAGCAACCCGATATGCAAATTAATTGACTTCCCAAAATTAGTCAGATTGCTAGATAAGCTTTAGCCAGTTGCTTTATCTTGGTTGGCCCATGTGTCCATTTCAGATTTACGGCGACCAGAGCATAGTCCACGGCACCCATGTCGCAACACACTGGCACTTGAAGCACGCCAAAGCACCCATCTTCCTCTACTACTTCACCCTCGATGCCTTTGGTGTCGCGTCGTTTTTGTTTGGGACAAAGTCGCTGAAAGGTAGGCCTCTTGAAAATATTATGGAACATTTTTGTTTAAAAGTCATTAATAATTTTATTTGTTTTTCATTTTGTTATCTATGTATCAAGGTGCTGGTCATGGGGATGACGTAGGGTATGTGTTTAAAAACCATCTCGTGAGCGACATGGGAACATCAGATAAAGAGCGTTTCGATCTAGGAGTGTCCAGGATGAACAACCTCATCGCCAACTTCGTCTCCCAAAGGCGAGTTTGAATACTCTTTTTAGCAGATTACACCTAATATGAAAATTATAACTGTTGGGTGGA